GTCCATATCTTGGTAAAAGCCTGACACTCTTTATCAGTATTTGTGTTTTTACAGCGTGCTGACATGACAGTGATGCAGATCTCTCACTAACTCTGCACTCGCCAACAGGGAGAGTCGTGATGTTGCTTTTTATACAACTGCTGAAATAAAACCCCCACTGATCTTCAAAACAAAACGCCTGCAAAAGCGTATTTCAAAAAGCTGAGATTTCCAATTTGCATGCAAATTGATTCATATTACATTTATATTGAGATATATTAGATTATATTTATATTAGGGTCCTCAGTTCTGTTGATAGGGTGGGACTTCTTGGATAGGGGAAACACTGACTCCCCTTTGCAAGATATAGCAACTTAAACTGACACACTGTAAAAAAAACTATTCTTGTATCACAAATGTAAATTCACTGTCAAAGTGTCTATCTCTGTCAACTTATCTGCCATTCTCCCACACACATCTCCAGCCGTCACTGCTATACCCCCACCCCCTGCAGCCTTCACCATCTTTGTCACGTCCACAGTGGCTGCACTGCCTGACTGGAGGTGAGAGGTCGTCTGGCCGAGGACCAGGACAGCTCATGGATCTGTTTGATCTACACAGCGCTCACCGCTAACCACAGAAAAGCTCATCTCAGTATCACGATGGGTTTTTGTCGTAGGCCCATAAAATGAGCACACAAACCCCCCATCAAAGATTTTTTGTCCACTATAAAACTCTAGTTATATAGAGCGACATGTATAAGACAATGGAAAAATTAAAGTCTTGACTTGAATGTGTGCGTGTTTGTGTGTGTGCTAATGTTCTAGCAGTGAAATATACAGGCTTAAGAAAAATAGCTTAGAAAATAATATTGCTATATTATTAATAATCAAAGCGTCCTTGTTGCAGAACAAAAACAGATTTGTTTATGAAACTGTTCAGATACTCCCCTTCAGCTTTTATAAAATGCTGCCTTGAGGCTTGATAGTTACAGAGAACAAAATGCCCCCAAACTTCATACAACTTTTATGCTAAAATAAACCAAAATTGTAAAAGATAATAGTCTAAATAGTGCTGAAAATATATTTTTAAAAAAACTAAAGAATAATCTTTGTAAGATCTGTGTAGACAAATAATCTATAAGAGCAGACGTTCACATTTGTTTATGAACTACAAACATGGTTTTTGTCCCTCGTCGTGGAGCGAAGTGAAAAATTGGAAATATTGTCCGGCTGTGAGGTTGATAACTTTAAAAATAAATGAAGACTTCCATTTTGTAAGCTGCACCTATAGGCGTAAGAAAGGTCCTCATCAAAAACTGTGCTGCTGTATCAGAATCCAAGATGACCATCACTATATATTTATATAAACTGGTCACCCCTGTAATTTGAGGAAACTAAGTTTAGTTTTCTCGCATAATTAGGGTGGCTAAAGATTATTCTAAGGTGGCCAAAACCACCGTTCAACACCCCCTGGCTTCCACCGTTGCACCAGTTTTTTTCCTCTGCTCCCCAGGATCCGTTACTCTGCACCACCTTGGACAAGAAAAGAAAACCTACTTCTGTTCTTACACACCGTGTAACTCTTACCAACTTGAATATTTTGCACTAAAAACATTATGGTTTACATGCATTCTCTGTTCAATTCCAGTCCAGAAAAACACTCATCTTGAAAACAAACATTGACTATTCAGATCCCTCAGCAATGGAGTACTGCTTGTTGCCAATTTATTTTATTATGAACAGGAATCACACTGTTAATGGTTTACCATGGTAAAACTTTTGTAGGTTTTGTTCTATTATGATAGGCCTTGCAGCACGGGTGTCCAAAGTGCGGCCCTTGCAGTGATTTTGTGCGGCCCACAGCTGCAGTTTAAGAATGGTATCATTTTGGCCAGTAGGCTTAAGAGGTCGATGCAGACTTTCTGCAAATTTGTTGGTAATCCTTTTATATATAATGTTTAGGTTTAACAGCAAAACGGATTAAAAACAATCTTCTCAAAATGAGCAATATTAAGCAAAATACAAATCTTTGGCTGTAATCTTTGTATTTTCACATCATGGTACAAAGCAACAAAAACCTTTACCGATTTCTACCAGATTTATATCATAAAACTTGGCTAAATATTGCAGTTGATAAAATAATTAACATGTTTAAATGAATATAATATGGTATCATCTACATACGTGTTGATCAACTTTATCAAACCTTCTATGAATCTGTTGTAGCGACAGACAGCTGGACGATTTTTTAGAACTTGGATCAGCCTCTTTGAGCCGTCCATGATCCAAAAGGCTGATCAACCCCCTTTTAAAAGGACATTTACTCATAATACACTTTTGTTGCTGAGAACAGACTAAAACGAACTTTCCAAACACAAGAAAATAACAAACATAGAACAAACAAATCAAATCATTTTTAATAAAAGTCAAAGCTTAGTGTGTATGAGGCGTTTAATGTTTTGGATCTACAACAATTTAAACCTCTTTCTCCAAAATATTGCTCACGTTGAGAGTTAAATTCACATTTTTTGTGGCCCACGAGTCCTTTCATCTGGATAAAATTGGCCAACATATATAAACGTTATAAACACCCCTGCCTCACAGGAAGACCAGGTAATGCTTTTAATGCTGGTGTTTTGTCAGCACAACTTATTTTAAAAAACTAACAGAAAGAAGAAACTTATCAGATTACATAATGGAAAAGCAATGTTGAATACAATGACTTTAATTAGCCCATTTCATATTTTTGTGTAACATGTGGCAGTTGTAAAACTCTATAAATATTTTCCTACAAAGAAAACTGTTAATTGCTGTAAATTTGTGAAATATTTAATAGAATTATCAAGAACAAACTCTATCTATGCAAATTTTGTATACCAAAAAGTTATTCAATTGTTCTTAGTTTGAAATAAAGAGTGTTTGTGTTGGTAAGTAACTTGACTGAGTAAAATATGATGAAAAAGTACTACTACTAATCATAAGATAATGTATTTCCTGTTTTTATTAACGCTACTAGTTACACTATGTGCAGAAATTTCAGTTTGCATTGAAAAGTTGGCACATTATTAGCATTTTTTTAAATATGTGATAATAACAACTAAATAACTGAAATTAGCAAACAAGAACGGTGCCTAAACAAATATTTGTAGTTTAATCTCTAATGATGAACATCAAAAAGACTGATTCTTACAGACTGTGGTCACCATTGAACAATATATGAGGTAGAGTGTTTACCATTTAGCACATTTTCACTTTGCTTTTATTAGCACGCAGCTGTTTGCACGAAGGTCCTTCCTGAAAAGTGACGACATTAACATCGTCTGACTTTACCGGTTACTGGAGTGGCTTGATGCTTCCCTCAGACTCACTCATGTATCATGTCTTGGACACTACATTGTGTGCACAGCTGTTCATGGTCGGGCTCATTTATGCGCTCGTCCTTTTCACAACACCGTTCGTCTTTGCACGCTGCATGTTTACTCAACAGCACTACTCCTAGGCCACCCGTAACCATGGCAACAGCACATAGTGGTGATGAGGGAAGGGAAAGTGTGCAGTTTGACTGACAGGGCTGATGTTTTATGGATGACAGAGTTCTTATTTCCAACTCAGAAGAGGTGAAATGTTTAAATGAGAGGCACTGTCCAGCAGACTACACTCCATCGTAAACTCTAATGCTTTCACTATTTGCCAGCTAAAGAAAAACTAATAGTGTCATATAAAAAAAGTTGTTTTTTGTTTGTTTGTTTGTTTGTTTGTGATTATATGAAATACACATTTTGTTCCTGAAAAATCGTCTTTCCTGCTTTCAAACTGAAAGAAATAAATTTATCACGCTTTAGCTACTTTTGACATCATGAAAAATTTAGAGCTACAACTTCATTGACTTTTAACAGTGATCTGTTGCTTATTTTCTAACAGAATGACGTTTGTTAGTCAATCTGTTGCGTGGTGTTATAAACTGAGAGAATTCTGTTGCATTTGTTCATTCTCGCCTTCTTTTAATCTTTTCATAATTATTCACGGTTCTCTGTGAGGAGTCTGTCGTTATGTTTTTAAAGCTTGAATGAACGATTTGAATCAGTTTAGTCCAATTCCCGTTAATGGTTGCTTTGTTTTCTTCAGTCTAGTATAGAGCTGGGCGATATGGACCAAAATTAATATCTTGATATTTTTAAGATAAATCACGATATACAATATATATCTTGATTTTTTTTTCTTTCCATAAAGTAATAACAAAAATATATTTCTGAGTCAAAGCTTTGTCCCAATTGTCACACAGGCACATTTATTAACAAACAGCTTTAACTGTACAAAATAAATGTCTAAAAAATAAAATATTTCCATTTATTAAACAATAATCCTCTTCAGCAGCGCCACCTTCGCGATGTTAGTAAGCGTGTGTGAAGCAGCATGTGCGGGGCTGTGTTTGTATTCAGTGAGGGAGAAGGAGGGTCCTCGTGCAGTTGGTGCAGACGGGAGAAAAAGAACTACATGAATTTTCAAGTCTAATAATACTCGATGTTTGCGACTGAGCCATTTTAACCATTGTAAATTGAAAAACTTGTGATATATTGAGTCTATTCGATACATCGCCCAGCTGTACTGTAATGCTTCATCTTTCCTGTAAAGTCCCAAACCCTGCTCTCATACTGGAGTATTTCCCTGTACAAGTAAGAAAATGATTGCCGTGCCAGTTCAATAAGGCTGTGTTTTATGAGTTCAGTTTCCAACTCATTATTGAGTATATTACAGAGGAGTGAATGAGGGCGTAATTCTAATCACACCTGTCGGTCCATTTGGGTTAAATAATAATAATTATGAATCCACAGTTATTACAATGCACATGGAACACATGGAAATGCATTCATAGAATCAGCATAAATTACATCTTTTAAGCACACATTTGGTTTGAGGTGTCCACTTAACAATGTGCATGTTCATAATAAACAAGTATGTTCAAATGTACAAGTCTCCACAGAGTGATGGTTCTGATAGCAATTGATTCGTCTTTTGCAGGTCTTTCCACCACTTCCCAACGAGGCTGAGATTGCTCACACCAAAAAGCTTTTTCGACGCAGGAAGAACGACCGACGGTAAAGATACACATCAACCCCACACACACACTGCAGAGACATGCCTCACATAAAGAAAAATGTTTTTTTGTGTGTGTGTGTTTTCTCAGTCCTTAACATTTCTCTACAGCCAAATCAAAGTCAAGTTGCAATGCAGGCTCTACACTTCACTGCAGACACCAAAAGGGAAAACTGGGAACATGAATTTTAGGTCCCCCAACAATTTTTTCTACTTGTGTTAAACTATACTGTTCAGTACATCTTATTTTATGGTGATCCATTTATTTTCCCTGCTTTGCTACATTTAACCTGATCCAAGAGTCCACATTTATTGTATATTCTGTAAAATCTAATTTTACCTAAGCCTGACTTCACTGAAACTAAGCTCTAAAGAGAGAAAGAGAAAAAATAAATCCCTCACTCCCAGCCCTGATGTCACTGGAAAACTGCTCTTCAGTTGCTAAGAGACGAGCAAAAAGAAAATATTTGGGTTGTAGTTGTGATTTTATATAAAAAGAGGAAATTGTAAAGAAACCAAATGGATAAAAGTGCTTTCATTTCTGTTTTTAAGCGCAGAGAGGAATTGCGTCTCCTCAGAGCTGCTGTGTTTTCTGTACAGTGGGGCACAGGCAGAGGGACAGAATCGTTTGTTTTCATTATTGTTTTAAAGCGAAAGTTTGATTAATTGATCTTTAACATCAAACTGAAAGGATGGAAAATCTGAGCAGCGCACTTCACTAACATCGCAGTCAGTGGCGTGCCCTTTCTGTTCTGTTTTCCACACTTTCAAAGAGTCAAACAAGTTTTCAAAATATTACTTGAAATCTTAAAAAAGGAGAAAAGATCAGGTATAATTTAACATTTTAGATGAAGTCTTGACAAAACCTACAGTATAGAATGAAAGTATAAAAACCTGCGTTCCTAAAATGTTTACAGAACCACACTTAAAAAATCTGAACTGTTTCATTACATTAATGACAGCAACCCACTAAAAATTCAGCGTAAAATCTTGCTTTGAACATGTGGTTCATTAAAAAGTTACCAACTGGCACAGTTAGATGCAGCCTGTTTTTATTAGTCCTTAGTAATTGCCGTGAGGTCTAACATTTGTGTTTATGCATTAACTGGGTTTATCTGTCCAACATGCTGCGGTCCTAATTTCATGTTCACAACCAGAACACAACCAGTAGCTCAGAGGCAGCAATGAGAAACAAAAAGCAATATAACTAGGGATGCAC